ACAGAAATATTGTGTGTATGTTTGTATACAGTAGAAAGAGATTGGATAAAAATCAAATACAAATAATAAATAAAACATATATTTGCAGGCACAGCCATCTTTGAAATAAGATTGCCTCTCTTTTTTTTTTTGCATTTTCAGAGTTTTTGACAGGGTTTTGGTTTTTTTTGCTTCCTTTCTTACCATGTTATGTTAGTGCCACAACACTTGATTTTCATGCAAAATGGCCCTAAGTTGAAATGAAGCAAAAATATAGTTTCCTTGGACTTATTTAAAAAAAAAAAAGCTCAGGAGAAAATAATGAGATCAGGAAAAGCAAAATAGTATTTTTAAAAAAAACGTTGTTGCTGGATGTTTATGACTGTGGGCATCCTGCATGTGAAACCAGCATTCTAAATGTTGTGGCAGAGGGAGCCTTGTAACAAAGGCAACAAAAGACTTTCTTGGAAAAAGTGACTTGGGTGGGGGCAGGCGGGGGCACATTCTTTCCTCTGCAAAGTATCCAATGAACTGATAGGGCTAGTTTGTAAAGAAATAAAGTGCAATAGCAAAAATGGATAGAGCTGCCCAAAGCATCATAAGAAACCGGTACTTTAAAACTCAAGCAGGAAAATGGGTGTATAGATAATATTTGCAACCAGAGGGAGATGAGTGAGGAGTGACATCATCAAAGAATGGTTGCTGGCTGTTCCTGGTGATGGGGCAACTACTTGCTAGAAAATATTTTTTATCTGAAACTAATGGCAAGAATTATCCCAGATGGAAATAAAACAGTTAAAATAGCCAAGATTTTCTCTCCAGTCCAAGAACTAAATAGATTATACTATGTATTTTTTATTGTGAGTTACTTAAATTGGTTCTAAGCTGTGCCGTGTAGAAATGTTGTTCTTTGTCTCCTGAGATATAGTTATAAGCTCATGTGTGCTGGATTCTAATTATTTTTATATTGTACACATTCTCCAGAGCAGCTTCTCTCTCTTTTTCTCTGTCTCTCTCTCTCTCTCTCACACACACACACACAGTAAATCAAGTAAAATAAAAAAAATAACATAGAAGTGTAGAAATTGCATTATTAATTTAGGGTCTAAAAAGTTTTCAAAACCATAATAAAAAAACCCTTTGCTTGCTCTTGAAAGGATAACAAAATATTCAATTATAGAGACGTGGGCATCATATGCAGGTATGCTTCTATTTACTAATATCTTACGTACTACAGAGCTGATTTATAAAGAGTTTAAATTATACTGCTGAATAGCACAAAATAAATCCATTATGATGCATACTGCATGCCAGTTTTAATTGAAATCCCTTCATCCTGGCATCTGAAAACGTTTAAAGCTTGAGTCAGGTATTTCTCTTCAGACTATGGAATTTTGTTTTAAGCTCCTTTACAGCCTTTTCATTTTTTGTTTCAACATCTCCCCACCCAACAGCCCCCATTATAAGAACAGCTTGGCATGGCGATAATCCTTTCAGAGTATTTTCAGGGTTGTGTTATTAGATTTTGCATTATAGCCCCAGTGCCAAGATTTGCAAAGCTTTAACTTTTGAAGCGGCTTTATCTTGAATTCGACCCAAAACTTGACTAATCTGTGAAGTTTCACAGAACTTGCCGTGGTGGATACGGTATCTTCGTTGCAGTTACATAACAGCTCTCCCCATATAACCATTGCTCACTGGCAGGGATTTCACCTCTTGAGTTATTTACCAAGTTCTCAAATCAGTACGAAAGAAATTTCATACTTTTCCAAAGTTTGGAGATCTGACATATTCTGCAAAATACTAAACATTTCTAAAATTTTAAAACACAACATTTTTTTCCTCACATACAGGCTCTTAAATATGTGCAAAAACAAACACCTCCAGTAAGATTTAGAGAACAAATAGGAAATTTTTCTATTTACTTAAGAAAGCTAGTGGGGATTATGGATGTTTATTTCTTGTTGCTTGAGTTCTTTGCAACGACACCCTCCCTGCTCTTGATCTGGGATGTGATGACATCTGTGGAATAAAATATGGTTGTTCAGCATATTTTATGAGGAGGAGGCATGATCCTAATAATTTTGCCCAGGGAGCTAAAAATAAAGTTTTACTGTGTTTGCCTTCTTCAAACTTCACAAATGAATAATAGTCACCATGCCTCAGGTTCCATGGCTCAGTAATCATTATTCAAGACAATGGGAACAATTTTGTTTGTCGCAATGTCTAACAATGGAGATAGAAATGACCACTGTGATTCCCTTGACCTCTGCCAGATGTCACAAGGCCCAGACAACTGAGGCCAACTTTACTTGGATAAGAAAGTAATGGTATCGCCCACATATCTTTGCCATTAGAGGAACTTTCCCTAGGGTAATAAAGATTGGAAATTCTATTTCAGCAGTATCTGAACTCCAGAATCTCCACTTCCCTTTTCTAAATATATAATTTTACTGCTATTCGTTTAAAACATTGTGTTAAATATCCCTGGCATCGTACATGTGGGTTTCTTTCCAACTGTTTCATCTAATCAACACAGATCAAAAAGATTTCAAGATCATTTGGTGCAACCCTCTGCTCAGTGTAGAATCTGCTAAAGCATTTTGGGCCGATAAATATCCAGTGAAAATATCATTTCAAGGACACGATCTTCTCATCTAGTTAATAGGCCTTTCATTTGGAAATTGCTCCTAAGATCTAAATCTGACTCTATTTCCCTGCAGTTTCAACAGAGACCTGTTGATCATACCTTCCAGAACAACAGAAAACAAGTCCACTCTCCTGTCTATATGACAATCCTTTAGATATCAGAAGACTATTAATAATTATTCCATGTCATCTTCTGCAAGTGAAACATAGATTAACTATGTATCATCAAGTCATTTTCAACTCCCTTTCTACTGTAGCAAAAATTAGAAAGCTTAGAAACTTTTCAAGGAACTAAGGGAGGAGAAAAAAACATCTCTGCAAGGCCCAGGATTTCTCCCTCCTCCCCCCTTCAGTCTTATTCCCTTGCAGTAAGTTTGTTTTTGGCCCCCATAACTCTGAGGAAACTATTCCAGTCCTTGAAGAACCCAGCAGAAGGAACCCTACACTAGAATAACCACACTCTTTCCCATATACCACAACACAGTGTGGTGTCACCCCGCCCCATTCAATAAATGTACCTTTCCTTCCCCTACTCCAGAATGTGGGACTTGACATTTCTCCCAGATAAATTTCACCCTGTTTCTTTCAGCCCATCATTCAAGCCTGCTTAGAACATGTTGAATCTCCTCATTCTTTTCTGAAGAACCTGTCCTATTCCTCCTAGTTTCTTGGCAGCTGCAGATTTGATAAACATTCCTTCAGTCTTTTCATGCAGGTCACTAACAAAAAAGTTAAATTGCATCAGGGCCAAGACATTATGGGCAATCTCTGTGGCATCAGCTGAGTGCTATTTTCCAAGGCAATGGGGAGCTATTTGTTAATAACCACTGGAGGTGTTTGTTCAGCCAAGTCAGATAGTTTTCTTCTTACTCTAAAACATTGTGTTCCAGAAGCCTGGTAGATGTCCTATATTTCAGTGTAATGTTCCTTGAAGATTAGGAATGATGCTGTTGACTTCAAGTGAGCTTATGGAAAATGGGCCACTTTCAAAGATCCGTAAAGACTAAAAACAAGAACAGGCATAGGGAATGAAGAGAGAGTAGAGATAAAAACTACAACGTATATTTCTTTTGTGCTGAACAAAGGTAGACTTTATATATCTTCACACCGTGTCATACAATTAAAACCCCTACATATAAACCAGGTTATTTATCAATAGAACATGGAGCAATAAGTGTATAGATATTATGTACAACCTGAATTTATAAATAGTTCACCGAATGGGAGTGTCAATAATAAAATCTTTTCAAGTTATAGAGAATTGAATTCTTTGGAGTTTTATACAGGGTAGTCCTTAATCTAAGACCACAATGGGGACCAGAATTTCCATTGCTAAGCTAGATGGTTGTTAAGTGACTCTTGCCAAATTTTACAACCTTTTTGCCATGATAGTTAAGCATATCATTGCAATTGTTAAGTGAAGCACATGATCATTAAGATAATCCAGTTTCCCCATTGATTTTGCTTGTTGGGAATGGCTAGGAAAATCACAAAGGAAGGTCATGTGAGCCCAGGACACTACAACCATTGTAAATATACGGTGGTTGCCCAGCCCCCAAATTTCGATCAAGTGATGCTGGAGATGCTCTGATGGTCATAAGTATGAGGACCAGTGGTGGGATTCAAATTTTTTTTACTACTGGTTATGTGGGTGTGGTTTGATGGGTGTGGTGTGGCTTGGTGGGCATGGCTTGGATACTGTAAAATCTCCATTCCCATTCCATTCCAGGGGGAAGGATACTCCAAAACCCCATTCTCTCCCTACCCACCTCACTAACCTGCTTTTCAGCTCCATTCTCCTGTGCAGGGCAACAAAAGAAGACCCAGCCGATCAGCTGGGACTCGGGAGGCAGAGAATAGATGGGGACAGGACCAGTCAGAGGTAGCATTTGCCGGTTCTCCAGACTACTCAAAATTTCCACTACCGGTTCTCCAGAACTGGTTAGAACCTACTGAATACCACCTCTGATGAGGACCAGTTATAAGTCACCTTTTTCAGTGCTTTGTAACTTCAAACAGTTGGTACATGAATAATATGTAATTAAGATTAGAAGAAAGAAAAGTTTATCTTTCAGTGAACTCTTAATCGCTTTTTTCAATCTTTTTTTTAAAAAACAAACTTTATTGATTATACAACTAAAATGTCAAACAAACACATACACAACACACAGAAAAAAGGAAAAGAAAAACAAAACCATCAAAAAACTAGCAATTCTAGTTATTCACTTTTTTCAATCTTCTAAGTACAGAATAATTTCCAAACTACTGGTGTATAACAATAGTTTCCTTTTGAATATGCTTTTAGGAGAATTAAAAATTTACAACAGTCTGTGATGCTAATGTTGTTCTCCCCTCCATTTTCATACCCACAGAAAATGGCTTCATTGGCTATTCAGAGGAGCTGTTATTAAACAACACGCTGCCAGACTACAATCCAGGAGAATCTTTCTTCACTGTGTTTGGTGTCTTCTTCCCAGCTGCCACAGGTACCACGGAATTTGATGGGAGGTTTAGTGGATGTCCTGCAAAATTTGGAAAGAATCTGAATAAGGCCATCTAGTTTAGCATTATTTATCCTACAATGAGCGAAGAATGCATTTTGGACATTCTGAAAGGTGCTGGGGACAATAACTGGGTTTGTACAATACTTTCTTCTCCAAGAACAGAATATTCTGGAGAAAGCTAGAATGTTCTGCCCTTCTGGACGGCAGCATTCCTGAGGTGGTCCAGTAGCTAAGAGAGAATAAGTAATAGGCTAAACCCACAATCTTCTTTTCTACTTTCTGGAGCCGGAATATTTGAAACTCTTCCAACAAACTCTAACCAGATAATCCCACTAAAACATACATTGATTCTGTAATAACATTGTACCTAATTTGGGGCAGATATGAAAATAAAGTGTTTTCACCACATTTATTCAAGAGGTGTATATTCAGTGTGTACTCTAATGGGTATTTGGTTGCACTTTCCTCAAGATTTACTACACCTTTAATGAAACCATTTGATTCAGTGCCCAGATTCATCAGCAAATAGTGGGCATTACAGGCTTCCCATAACCCAAGAGGGCTCTTGGGAGCCCTAGAATTAGTGCTACTTGCCATATGCTAAACAAACAAACAAACCAAGTGCTCCTTCCTATCTTATCGTTTGGCAAGGGCCTCAATAGAATTGGAATGCATTAAGGCTGGATAATCTCCCAGAGCATTCAAGAATGCCTTAGATGCTTTAAGTCTCAAACCGATCCCTTCTCATCCTTTCAGGATAGATCAGGCCTGGCCTTCTCTCGTCAGGAAATGGGATTGTATATCTTCTCTAACTAGTGAAATCAGACTAACAAGAGACAGGAAACGTACTGCTCCCAACTTTTTATTAGTTGATACACGAGAGGCCAGCGTATGCTAACTCTCCCAGTTAAGCCTTGCATGATATCAGTCAAATTGCTAGCAGGATTCTTATAGTACACTTAACATTAGTTAACTGATTTATTAAACAAATTCAGTGTGGTTGGATTTGCCAAATATGCTAGATTAAAACCAAATAGTCATAATTATAACTTGATGCAATACCTAAACCCTCTCACTCTTTTCTACAAGAGACATATTGGCTTACAAACTTTTAGAGGGCTGCCCTTGCTTTGTTAGTTTTTGAAACAAAGCATCCTTTTTATTGCTTCATGGAACAACACAGTTCCCTGCTTCTAAAGGGTGACATGAAAGTGCTATGTGGTTTTGTCTCATGTTGTTCCCCTTAAAATATATATATATGTATGTATGTATGTATGTGTGTGTGTGTGTGTTTTCTTAAGTTTTCACGGGTACTTACATGTATGGTATTCAGCTTTGTTCGGGTATTTTCCCACGTCATTATAGTTGTGCTTTTAACAACGTTGCGGCAGAATCTCATCTGCCATCATCAGGCTTCTGTATTGTGTTACAGAAGCCTGATGATGGCAGATGAGATTCTGCCGAAACGTTGCTTCAACTTTAAAAGCACAACTATAATGACGTGGGAAAATACCCAAACAAAGCTGAATATCATACATGTAAGTACCCGTGAAAACTTAAGAAAACACACACACATAATGTTCGAAACAAGGTTAAAATACAAAATACAGAACACAAAAGACAAAAAACGCAAAACAATTTTAAAAATGCATTAAAAAACGCCCAACACATATACACATAATATCCCTTAATCAGCTGAATACTGATCAGTAGATTACTAAAACATTAGTTCCTACTCTTTACGAAACGGGCAGTCCCAATTTTTTTAATCTACTAAATCTATTTACAAATTGTTGGCCTGTCTTCTATAAGTTTCATGTTGTACCAATGGCCTTCTCCAGAAAATCCAGTAGCAAGACACTTTCAGTGTGAAACTGTGTAAGAATATTCTAAAGTAGGTGTGTCAAACTCGATTTCATTGAGAGCCTCATCAGGGTTGTGTTTGATCTCAGGGGGGTGGGATGTGTGTGGTAGGATGGTCATGGCCAGCTCGACGTCACTTATGTCAGGGGCACCTGTGAGAGAATGGTCCTGAGCTCCGTTTCCACCTGCAACCCTCTGCCAGTGAAAATGGAGCTTGGGAGGGCCACATGTAGTCCCCCCGAGCTCCATTTTCGCTAGCAGAGGCATTACGGGCTGGTCCCTTGCTGTTTCCGGGGTGGCCCCGCAGGCCAGATCTAAGCACCCCATGGACTGGATCCGGCCCACGGGCCTTAAGGTTGACACCCCTGTTTCAAAGCATGTGTGGATAAATTGTGCTGTTTACTGGATATTCAGAGGAGGCAAAATGCTTCAGGTGTAGGCCTAGTGCCATTAAAGCAAGCTCAGTTTACAAGGTTGCCACAAAGGCTTACTCAGGGAAAATATTCTGCATTCAAACACTGTGATGCATGAATATCCAGTCTACTAAACACGAATTCCCATTCTGAACCACACTGAAAAATGTTAATGGAAGATTTCTGTTCACCATCCCACCCCACAACCCCCCAGTTTGTGTGTTTAATACCCATAGGGCTTTGTTCTTTTTTTCCTCTTGTTTTTTTTTAATATCAGCATGAACCAGTGAGTGATCTGCAGGCTGAGGGCCAGACTAGAAACAGTCTTCATCCACTACTAGCCACAATGACAAAAAAATATCAACATTTGAAAAATAAATTTTTACTCAGCAGATTGAACATCTCATATTTCTTGTGACGTATAAACAGGTTGTTTACAAACACAGAGTGAAGTTGTGTGGTCGCTTAGTTTTTTAGAAGTAAACACAAGAAGGATCAGTTACTTTAAAAAGCAGCATGGCAGGAATGTTTCCCATGAATCTGTTGAAAGCTTTACGCAACCCGCGTGTATTGCTCAGAAATCATTCTTCCCCCTAAATATTATTTATCTTCTTTTAAGCTTGCAAGCAGAAATTTTTCTCTAGTTATTTAAAGAAGAGAGGAAAAGCATGTATTGTCTCTCTAGGTATGTAAGAGAACAATTTGCCAAATGCAGGTTAAACCTTTGCTCTCTGGAGGCTGAACAAGAATATTAAAAACTGTTAAGTCTGTCCAAGTATCACAGTGTCAATCAGATGAGAGCTAAGAAAGTGCCTTTTTTCAAGGGACTAGCATTGGTTTAATGGAACACTTTTTCCTCAGTGCTGTTTATAGATGTTTTATTTTGCCTTATTCTTTTCAGGTGTTCAGACTGTGTCTTGTAAACAGCTCCATCTGGGCAGAGTTCCTGAACAGTGAAAGAGCCTCACATAAATGCAATATCATAGTACAGGTGGCCATTGTTTAGCAGTCACAGTTGGGAGGGAAGATTGTTTAGTGAAGTGGTCATTAAGTGAAACTGCTTACAATACTACCTCAGCTTTCCTTTGCTTTGCAGACCTGTGAAGGTCATAAACACAAGGACTGGGTGCAGAGTTACTTTGTCATCAACATTGTAACTCCAAACAGTCACTGTCTGTGGTTGTCACTAAATGAGGACTACCTGTATTCAACTTAATATGTTATAAATTGCCTCTCATTCATTCATTATATTCAGGTTGAACCCATGAAGTTTTAAAAAAAATTCCTGTTGAGTCTCTGTGATGCAGCATGTGAAAGAAAGTTTAATTTCAGCATATACTGTAGGCATACCTAGCGTTTCTATAAAATTATCCAATGTCCCTTTAAAAGTATCCAAATTACCTTTTATCACTTAGATTGCTGATTGAAATTCCACAACTTAATCTTGAACTATGTAAGAACTATTTTCTTTTCTAACGCTTTAATTTCCTGCATGTCTTTCTCCACCAAGCTCTTTCCTTCTTCTTAGATTCCTGTTCCTATTCTAGACCCAGCACATTCTTTTGGGCTGTTAGTAGAAAGTCAGTTTCCTCCTCTAAGTATTTTTCCTATCTTCTGTGGGGTACAGATTGTCTCTGTGTATTGATTTTGGAACCTGTAACCACGCTAGAATTCCAGGACCATTCTGGTAGAAAGAAGTTCCCTAAGGATGGGCTTTGGAATGAGTCCAAATGCTTGGAAGACGAAACCCCTAGTCCTTGCCTCGCCTATGGAGCATGTAAAACATGTTCTGATTTATCCTCTTGCCTTATTTTTTTTCTCTAGAATTTTCTCCTCCCCCGCCCCCACCGCCCCCAGCTGCTTTTAAGATAAAAGAGTCATGGCTTTCTTGCACCATTGAGTAGAAAATATTTCAGATGTATGGCCTTGTGTGTTTTTCTTACAGGGTTATCTTAAAAAATAACTGAGTGCAAAATAAAATAGTTTGCTTATTCCCCGATGCACATTGCAATGCATTTGGGTAGATATCAAGATAGGTGTTTCTGCAGTGGTTAGAGTCAGAAGATGTTGAAATTGATTAGAAGTGTTAGAAGAATCAGTTTGTCTATAAACTGGGAGGCCTGTGAGTTTTAGCTTTGCCTTTGGCACAAATCTAGCCAAGTGACCTTGGTCCAGTCCTTCTCTCTCTCTCAGCCCCAGGAAGGAGGAGACAAGGAGAAGCGACTTTGAGAACTGCAGGGACTTGTTCAGTCAGTCAGTCGCCAGGAATAAATACTGACTCAAAGGTACAGTAATGACAATAGGAGTGAGTGGGGCTGGAGTTATTGAAATCTACTTAAGAATATGCAGTGGCCAAAGAAAGAGTAAATGTTTTGATTTCTGCTTCTACCAGATAACTGGTAGTCAATACATGATTCCATTTTTTAAAAGCTCTATAATGAATGTAAAAGATGCAAGGGATAAAAATTACTTCATGTTCATATGCACAGGTAGAAAACTAATTAAAAGAATAATAATATATAGGGCAGTGTCAGGAGCCACAACTGCACTGATATTATTTTTAGCACCTTCTTCTGCTAACACAGTTCTATAGATCTGTGCTTGCTGTTCAGCAAAAGTTTTTTGGGTGTGGAGATTTTGTTCCTGTAGTTTGTTGCCTGCTTCTTTGTCTCTTTTCATTTTGGAAAAAAAAAATGTAAACACAAATTTGCTCTTATGCCCTGGGTGGGAGAATGCAGCATGAGTAATGTAGGCAAGAGAGCCATTTTCTATAAAAATGGATGAGAATTTAACTAAATTTGGTGGTGTGACGGAAGCCATTTGATCTCTGGCCAAGCATTCTCTAGCTCTCATTGCACTGTACCAGAATTCAAGGTCTTGATTTGGTGTCATTGAAGCTAATCCATAGCGCTGAACTAAGTTACTCCGTGTTCCAATGTTAAGCTAGGCTTGGAATTTTCTTGAAGGGAAATAATTGCACTATTAGGAACTGAAGTGTTATTGTTTTTTCCTTGAATACCTCTGTACTTTGTATGTATGTTTGTTTGCCATGTGTCCCAGTAACACAAGGATAACAATTTTATGTTATTATATAGTTACAGAAGCAAGACCATCACACAAAACAGCTCATTTCTTAGAAATTGATACTTAGTACTTCAGCACTTCAGAAGCCTCTGGCTTTCTTCCCAAATATTTTGTTATGTGATAATTAAGAACTGACTTTTTTTAATCATTCAAGTAATAAAACTGTTAAATGAGTTGTATGCAAACTCGTAGGTCTTGATTTTTCAGTTAGATCAGTTACAACCATAGGTGATTTTCAAGTACTGTTAAGTTGTTTTGGATGTATACAAATATTTATCATATATTTATTTGCGGAAGTGGAACATATTCTTCTGTCTGATGATTTTTGACTGCAGTATTTTACTTGCGTAGCAATCCTAAGGTTAATTACTCTAAAATAAGGCCCACTGAATTCAGTGATCTATATAAATATGATTAGTTCTGTGAAAGCTTAAGTATTAATAAAAAGACTCATAAAACTATAGTTGATGGTCATTATCCCTATGGAAGTCTTAACTGCTTTAACAGAGGGTGAATGTAGAAAGCATCAAACTATATTTAATATGTCAAATACTTGTGGCTTATCTCCTGGTTGGAACTAGAGTGAATTAAAACAAAGGAAAAGCACTATTTGAGCAAAGACACATCTAACTGATCAATGGATCTTAAGTGGATAGTGGATATTGATCCTATTAATTGACTATGGGCTGGAAGTATGGTTCAATAGTCTTTTAACTGGAAGATAAAATTTTATTTGAGTTGCTGTATAATTACTTCCATTTCATATTAATTGTGGGAGTGTGACTTCATGAATACAGGTAGTCCTCAACTTACAACAGTTCATTTAGTGACTGAAGTTACAACGGCATGGAAAAAAGTGACTTATGACCGTTTTTCACATGACCATTGTAGCCTCCCCATGGTCACCTGATCAAAATTCAGATGCTTAGCAACTGACTCATATTTATGATGAGTCCCGGAGCATGTGACCACATTCTGTGACCTTCTGAGAGTCAATGGGAAAGCCAGATTCACTTAACAACTGTGTGACTAACTTAATAACTGCGGTGATACAATAAAAAATTGTGGCAAGGAAAATGGAAAATGGGCAAAATTCAATTAACAACTGCCTCGCTTAGCAACAGACGGTTGGGGTTCAGTTGTGGTCATAAACAGAAGATTACCTGTAGTTCAATTTATTACTACTTTTTAAAATTAATTTAGTTATTTATATAAAGAACCACTTTATCCAACATGTAAGGAGTTGGCAGCCGTCATCAGACATTAACAACCTGAAAGCTTATTGTTTTAAAAAACAGGGAACAAAAGTTTCCTGTGAAAGTGTCAGAATCTGTCATGTATCTGGAGATAACCACTCATGTAATGGGGAGCCTAGCTGAAAGGTCTGCCAAGTTCAGTGCTAGCAGGCATTTGGAAAGGGACTGTTTTCAAGTGATAGTTTTCAGATAAGCTGTTTTTGTCTAAATCCGGGCCTTTCTTCTAGTACATTGTCCAATTTAGAACAAAGGATCTCTTTGTGGGTATGTGGTTAGCATCCTGTTGCCAGTGGATACCTAGTTGCTTAATCATGAAGCTGTATACATGGCACTGATATCAGTATGTGCACCGGGGTTGGGTTTATTTCCCCCCTCCTAATAAAAAGGTCATCATCTTACAGCCCACTAACACTGTTGTGTTTATTTTTGTGTGTGCTCAAATTGCAGGAGTGATGGCTGGGTTTAATATGAGTGGAGATCTCAGGAAACCCGCAACGGATATCCCTCTAGGATCTCTGTCTGCCATTGGCATTTCGTAAGTCCTTATAAATAAAGAGGAACACCTCCTTGGGAGAAAAAAAATATTTTCTGCTCAGACTGACTTTCTGCTCATCTCTGTTCTGCAATCAATCCATTTCCTATTATAATAACTTTTCCTTTTCTCTCTCTTCTTTATCAAAGTTGGCAGGGATTCAGCTGTTTACTTATTTATTTGATTTGTCAGTCGCTTACAAGATAATAGGTATAAGTATAAACACAATTATGAATATATGAAATGGATACATATAAGAAAAATAAAAAGAAACAATAGGACAGGGCCGGTAGGCACGTTGGTGCGTTTATGCACGCCCCCTACAGACCTCTTAGGAAAGGGATGAGGTCAATAGTAGACAGTGTAAGGTTAAAGTTTTTGGGGTTTGGGGAGCTGAAGTCGTATTTCCTGCAATCAAGTTTGAAGTTCAGCTGTTTATCCCTGATCGCTTTCTGCCCTGGACACATTACAAAGAGACAAATTAGTTAATATCCTCCTCTCTTTTTCACTTTTCCAAATTTAGGGAACATGAATCTTTTCAGTATAATTATAGGACTGATAAATAAATAAATAAAAATAATAATTAGCTCTCCTTTCTGGTAGGGAATATCCCACGCAAGGCGTAGGCTGCCTTTTCTTATGCTCCTACGAATCCCTAGATACGTTTTACAGCACACTGATTTTTAGGAAGAATTCTTAAATAAAGCAGGCCCATTACCTGTGGTTTCATTATTAATTCATTAAATTTGTTTGCTGCCATTCTCGCCACAAAGTAAATGGGATTCTTTTATGTTTATATGATATTTTCTCATTTTCATTTACGGGTGAATTATTTCAGTCGTAGTCAGAGAATGTAACAGGGCTTAAAGACTTGATTTCATTCTTTGCTGGATAGCTACTTCCACACAGTAGTTAAACAGTAGGATCTAATATTTGGAGGCTTAGAGAAGTTAGATCCAACTGCTGAATGGTATGGTATGTGTGAACATGGAAAGAAGATTATCAGCCTTAATCATATATTCGTAAGCCAGAGCATGGTTTCGGGAAGAAAAAGGAAAACAAACTTATAGGAACTCCCCTCATTATATGGCGTCACCTCTCTCCTTTAACTACTTTTTAGCTATCCATATTTTAAAATAAGGATTTGACTCTTTATCATCATTTACAGTTGTTGCAAAATGTGTAATATTGGCCTGAATACATTCCAATAAAGGAGAATATTTGTAGCTCAGGATTGAACTGAGGAGCCCTTGGTGCTCTCTGAGCTTGCAGGCTTTTTATTACCCAAACTAGATAATACTGTCAGTGCTAGTCTGATATATATATGTTGATACATTCCTTCTTACTGTTCTGTTATTCTTATTCTTATTCCTTTTCCTTTCCTCATTCTTTTTTAAAAAATTGTTTTCAATAACTTTTATATTGCATCTTTGAGAGGGCATATCCTGTCTTTTTGTTTAGGCTGCTCATTTCAGCTTCTGGTACATGCATGATGGCAATAATCAGAATAAAATATAAATGCAAATAGTTTTCTTAACTCTCTGACTCTGATTTAATTGTTTTGAAGAACATCGTTGTTTTCAAAAATCAATTTAATTTGAATCCAGTTCCTAGGCATTTTTGTTACAGTCATGAAAAACTATAATAAACATAATTCATAAAATGTTTTAGCAATGTATCCTTAGTCCTAAGCATATAGATCCAGACTGATAAGTTGAGGATCTGTTCTAGGAGTTAGATTTCGATGGTAGAGGAACAATTGATAGTCCTACATCTGCCCATTAAAAGGTAGACTGGGCCTTTGTCCTCAATGGGATTACGTTGTACAGTGGTACCTCGGTACTCATCATTAATTGGTTCTAGGAGGAGTAATGAGTACTAAAAACAACAAGGGCCAAACAAATCATGTGACTTACCACATGACCCTTTGTTTCAGCCACAAAGGACTTCCTGTCTGTCCCTTTTCTATGTCAGCGACTTTCCCAACATGGCTAATTTTCTGTCCGCCTCCTGTGGCTGTCCCCCACTTTCTTTTGCGGCGATCTTCCCAGCACAGGCAACTTCCTGTCTGTTCTCTGCAGTCGTCCACTTTTTCCTATCACAGCACATCAAATACCAAACAAGTACTAGGACAATATTTTCACATCAAAATGCATCAAAAACCAAATTTGACAACTTGTGAAATAGTCAAGTACCACTGTAGAATTTCCAACTTTGGATCTGCTATTTCATAGTTGGGCCCTCCCTTTCCATTCTTGCAGAGTGAAATTGAAATCATGTTCCTCTAGCATTTGCATTCAAACTTGTTTCTATTTCAGTTGCATCCATAATGTGTAGTGTTTTTCAACCTTGGCTACTTTAAGATGTGTAGACTTCAGTTCCCAGAATTCCTCATCTGCCTGGTGAATTCTGGGAGTTGAAGTCCACACATCTTAAGGCAGTTAAAGAGGAGAAACACTATGTACCTTAAATGATTAAAATATTTTTGGAGCAAAGGAAAACTACTGCTTACTGAACTAGCTCATACTATTAAAGACATTATTTTTTTAAAAAAAAAGCTGTTATTTTTTTTTTATTTCTTTGCAGGTGGTTTTTATACATTGTTTTTGTTTTTTTACTGGGAGCTATTTGTACCCGGGACTCACTCCGCTATAATTTTATGATAGCAGAAAAGGTAACTTTGAATATATAAGGCAAATCCTTTAATTCTGAATTAAATTATGTGGTTTCTTGATGAAGAGTAATAATGTTTACTTATTGGCTAAATTGCTTCTCAACATCTACTCTCAATCCTGTCTCCTATAGCCCCTTGGAAATGCTCCAAATTTGTTCCCATGGTTAGGAGAGAATCTCTAGGGTAGAGTTTGTGAATAAAAGAGCCAGAAAGAGAGAAGGAAACAAAAAGAACCAGTTACACACAACACTGGATTTCACTCTGTGTCTGGAGCATATCATGATTATTTTATTCTACAGTTTGTGAATAAATTTCCCCTGCTTTTATTCTCTTTTCACACCTTAGTTTTCTTTATGCATACAGTAATTTTGCTGCATTTATCATGTATAAAAACAAAGTTCCATGACTTTTTTCAAATGCCTGTCCATCGATCCCAAATAAAATCATCTGGTCTCCATTGTATATTAATATTTTAAAACCCCTGAATCAATGTATGTAGTTGAATCTAGAATGTTTTAGCTCTTTTTTCCATATCCACCAAACACTTCTCTTTGTGTTGTTCACATTTCCAACATACATTTGGAAATGTTTTTATACATTCTAAACAATTTCTCTGATGATGTATCCTAATGGTACATCATTTATAAAAGTTCTCATTAAGAATATAGCATAATGTAAATCTCAATCCTTTCAGCCACTTATTTTCCCATTGTTCCATCTATATATTACAACCAAATTTTTTGGCTAAATGGGAGAATGAAGTTTGCAGGTTATTTGTATATAGTAGCTTGCCCTGCTAGACTTGGTTGGGATGTGGTTCTTTCTTGGTAATATCTTGATTAGGGTATTACTTTTTCTCTGATTGTTTAGCTAGTGTTTTTTCCTGCATATCTGACTTGGTTGCTAGAGAGGATGTTTGTTTCCTTTCTTGACATTAGCCTTTAAAAAGTATGTAGATAGGGGTTATCTCTATATGTTTGCTGATGGCTGTTTTGTTAGAATGCCAAGCTGCCAGAAATTCTCTGGTGTTTTATCTAAACTTAGAGTCAGAAACTAAAAAACCTTGGTTGCCAAAGTAAGGCCTGCTAAACAAAAAGTCTTGTTATAAAGTCTATTGGATAGGTGGGGAGGTACTTAAAAAGCCTTTACTACTTGGAGAGATGCTCCAAACTAATTTCTGTCTCCATGTGTTCAACATAGTTGGGAAGCACCTTGAGTGACAGCCTGCCACAGAATTGATCATGTGCATTCCAGGGTATTTTCTGCTTCATGATACTGTGGTATTCAATGATAACTTTCTCTTACTATCATCTTATCAGCCTCACTTTTTTCCACTTTGCTCCATTAACAAATCACATGCTGTATTTTGTAAAGTAACCCAGAATAGACTCTAACTGAAAACTCTTCCTCAAAATAATACATTGGGAAAGAGATTATTCTTACCACCTAAGAATGAACCTTTGTTTTTTCTCAAAATGAAATTTCTTTTTATTCTTTCTTTTTAAAAAACTTAGATATACTTGGTTGTCTTAATACACGTATGTGTATATGATATGAGGCCTAATATAATGCCTTTTTACTTTCTTACCTGAGCCTTGAATTAACTGAGCCTTGAACCTTATTTTTCACTGTAGCCTTAAATCAGATTTTATGACATTAAGCTGGAACACAGAGAGATGGGTTGCTTGATATGAAACATTCTTTCTCATACAGATAATAAAAAATTTAATTTCAAATCATAGGTTATTAATCTGTGGCCTATGGACTCTATAACAGCCTACCAAATTCTCAAATATGCATTTGAGAATATCAGATTGTGCTCCGGGCATCTGCAAGTGGCTGATAGGCTTTTGAAAATATTTTGACTCAAAAGATTCATCTCCTCAACTATTGCCATAGTTGCGATCCTGCCTTTCTTGCCAGTTTTTCAGAACAACAAGAGTGGAGTTGTTTCATGTTTGTCTTAACAACTCTGTAAAATAAATTAAGCTGACAAAGAATGTCTGACTCATCCAATAAATTGCATACGTAACCAGGAAATACATCACATTGTGTGCTTGGGGTAGTCCTGCGTTCAGTTTATAAGCAGAAGCTACTCTTGATGGATTTCTCTTGCTTTATATGGAAAGGCTATATTCTTTGTCCCAGCTGAGAATTCAGCACCTCTTATACTGTGTGTTAGCTAGCCTTGTTAGAATGTGTATTTAACAGATATAAGAAGACATATGCATAGATGTTACTTTAAATAAATAAACAGGAAATACAGACAAAATGCAAGGTCAGTCGACACTTTTCTTTCAGGGAAAGCAAATGTTTAACATTTCTTTTTTAAAATTTTTTATTGGTTTTTAAAAACAAACATAAACAAACAAAACAAAAACATTAAGCTATCTTCCATATGTGTACATACAGTATGCCCGTTTGTTTACAAATTGTTTTGTGCTTCCATTTCGTAGCCTTCAATTACAATTGCATTGCATATAATCTCATATTTTCAATCAAAAATTAAATACCTTGATATCATTGTTAATCATTTGATTATACTTTAATTCTGCATGTTTTACAAGATAATCATAATTTACTTAGTTTATTTTATAACAGTTCATATTATCATCCCAAATCTATCCTAAAATCATTTTGTAGATATAATAAGAGATACATCTTTATATATTTATTATTTTCTAAAAGTCTACATATTTCATTACTGTATTTTATTATCTAACCATTGATAGAAAAGATCCCAAATTTTATAAAATTGTTTATCCTCTTGTTCTCTAATTTCAAATTTCATTTCAGCACATTCCAATATTTTCTTAATGATTTCCTCCTGTGATGGTATTTTCTCATTTTTCCAGTTTTTAGCAAATACAATCCTAGCCGCTATCAACACATTTACAATCAGGTATTTTCAAGTCTTTACTATATATTTCAGGTAAAATTCCCAATAAAAATATCTCTGGTTTCAAATCTATGTTTTTTTTATCATTTTTTCCAACCACATGTGGATTTTAGTCCAGTATTTTTTAGCATCCACACAACTCACCACATATGGTAATATGAGCCGGGTGTCTGATGACATTTCCAACATTTTTCGGATTTATTCTTGAACATTCTTGCTATTCTTGTCAGGGGAAAATGCCACCTGTAAAACATGTTATACAAATTTTCTTTATATGCTGTTGACATTGTCATTTTATAATTTTGAGACCACAGTTTTTGCCATTTCTCTAAATCAATTCCATATCCAAAATTCTTCCCCCAAGCAATCATAGTTTCTTTAACTTGTTCTTCCTCTAATTTAATTTCTAATAAATATCCATAAGTTTTTTAATCACCTTTTCATCAGTACCTGTCAAAATCTTATCTAAATCAGTCAGTTTGTCATAGAAACCTTCCGTTTTAGAGTCTTTGTCATACCTTGAATGTATTTGCGCATATGAAAACCAATTCATCTTTATACCTTGTTCCTCTAATTTTTGTATAGATTTAAGTTCACCCTTTTCATTCAATATTTTACCATATCTAACTGTTTGTTCCTTTTTATGTATTATCGGATAAGAAAATGCTTCAATAGTCAATAGCCAGACTGGAATTTTCAAATAACATTGTCTTTTAATCTTCTCCCAGTTTAACCACAGACTCCCGTACATAATGTCTTCTAAAATACCCCTGTGATCTCGTTCCTTTATACCATAGTAAAGCTTGCCACCCCAACAACAGATCATGTATTTCTTAATGTTATCCATTCCTTAACCCACATCAAATTTGTAGCTTGGTAGTACAACTCCCAATTAGGCAAACCAAATCCTCCTCTTATTCTAGCATCTTGCAAAAGTTTTAACTTTATTCTCTCTTTCTTACCTTGCCATATATATTTCAACACAATTTTATTTAAATCTTCAAAGTAATCTTTTCCAAGCCTAATTGGAATTGTTTGGAACAAATATAAAATTCTGGGTAATATATTCATCTTGATTGTTGATATTCTCCCTATTAATGAGAGCTGTAAATTTTCCCATTTCGCCAAATCTAACGCTATCTGCTGCTTAAGTTTGATATAATTATTCTCTTTTAGTGTACTGCATCTTGCTGTCAAATGTATCCCCAAGTATTTAATCTTATTCGTGACCTGAATTTTCAATAGATCTATCAGTTCTTCCTTTTGTCTTGATAGCATATTCTTTGTCAAGATCTTTGTCTTATCTTTATTTATTTTCAAACCAGCCACCTTTCCATATGCCTCTATCTTTTCTATCAATTTTGATGCTGTTTCTAGTGGGTCTTCTAAGATGAAAACCAGATCATCTGCAAATGCTTGCAGCTTCAATTCTTCCTTTTTAATTTTCATCCCTTTTATATTCTTTTCATCTCTAATATTTCTGTTTAGCACTTCCTAAGTTAACACAAACAACAAAGGTGATAGTGGGCACCCTTGTCTTGTTCCTTTTCTTATATTGATAGAGTCTGTCAGTTCTCCTTCTATCATTACCTTTGCCATCTGCTTATAGTATATAGTTTCTATTGCTTGAATAAATTTTCTAGCAAAACCCATCTGTTCCAACAGTAATAACATGAATCGCCAATTCACATTATCAAATGCCTTCTGTGCATCTAGAAATATCAGAGCCATTTGTTTTTCAGGATGTGCCTCGTAGTATTCCAAGGTGTCCAAGATTACTCTCATATTGTCTTTAATTTGTCTCTTTGGCAGAAATCCATTTTGATCAGGATGGATAAAATTATTTAAATATTTTTTAAGTCTTTCTGCCAATATTGAAGCAAAAATTTTATAATCTGCGTTTAGTAAAGAAATGGGTCTATAGTTCTTAATTTGTAATGGGTCGGTCTCCTCTTTTGGAATAAGTGTAATATAGGCTTCTGACCATGATTTAGGTATCTTCTTCTTTAACATAATTTCATTCATAACTTCTAGCAATGGAAGATTCAACGATTCTTGTAATGTTTTATAAAATTCTGCCGGAAGTCCATCTGGGCCTGGT